AAGCATTCTATATTGACCTCTCTTGACCTTTTTTGCCAAGAGGATTCTTCTCACAATCCAATTGTCTACAGCTGTTATCTGAGCTCTCCCTTCAAGCTGAGATCATGAAAAGCTGGTACCATGGATCTGTCTCTTGCCCAATGGCATAAGCTGGGCCCCCTCTGGAGAAAAAACCTAGGTTCCCTATGATCAATGCCGGAGCCCCACCAGCAGGTGACTGGATCCAAAGGCAGTTGCTGGGCATGGAGGCCAGAGGGACATAGGTTAACAAGGAGACAGAACTGAACCTCACATCACCCTACTTGGCCCAGAGGACGGCTGGTAGTCAGTGACAGGTAAGATCCATCAGGGAGGGACGACCTAAGACAGGCACAGTCGGGGGGGCAGTAGGAGAGAACTTGAGGTTCAACAGAGGTGGAGCACAGACCCTCACCCTCCCAGTTGTGCAGGGGCTTAAACACTCACCCCTTCTGAGGAAGGTCTCCTGTCCCCATGGCTGCTTCTTGCTTCCCATGCCCAGCCCAGATCAGGAACCAAATAACAAAAGAGACTTGGTCCAGCTGAAAACAGTATCCAGAAAAACGAAGGCTTAGCTAACATACCCTATATCTAAATCTAGTCTAACAACAGGATGCTCAGGCCTCCTCAAGAATGTAAAGTGATCCTTTCAATTAATATTTACAGTGTAAATTAAGATTATTGTTAAAATATTAAATTTGACAGTAAAATAGTTGTCAAGTTTTCAAATTAATTAAATTTGGCTAACTTGAAATAAGTAATTATTCAAAAAGTATTAACCAAAATTTTCATTTCTGGGTAAAATTGCTTAACATGCTATGAACCTAAAGCAGTCATATTTTTGTGCAAAAAAGTTATCTAGACTGCATTATATATTTTCCAAAAATACTCCTAATTAAATCAAAAAAGGGGGATAGTGGGAAAATGCCATGTAAGGAAATAGATCCTGTAACAAAATTAATTTTTTTTCGTTTATAATGCTTATAGCGAGACACCCAGGAAAAACACACATGAGGCCAGGGTAAGCTAGGAGAAGATCATTTTAAACAAAAGACCCCAAGTAAGTGAAAGGGTGAGGACTACGCCCTCCATCTTGCCCCAGGGTGAGGACTATGCCCTCCACCTTGCCCCAGGGTAAGGGCTACACCCTCCATCTTGCCCCAGGGTAAGGGCTATGCCCTCCATCTTACCT